ATGACCACTCTAGGCGGCTAACAACCATAAAAATAATATAAGACAACGAAAATAGACAATTCTAAAAGAAGAAAGCACTACATTAAATCATATAATACACAAAACAAAAAACAAAAACAGAAAAGAGGGGGGTCAAGAGGTGTATGATGGAAAGATCCACCACTGACATGGTATTCTCCCTCAGACAGCTGCAGGAGAAATGTAGGGAACAATGACAGCCACTCTTTGTGGTCTTCATAGATATCACAAAAGCCTTTGATTTGGTTAGCAGGAACGGCCTTGTTAAAATACTTCCCCAGATTGGATGTCCACCTCAACTCCTTAACATCATCAGGTCCTTTCATGAGGGAATGAAGGGCACTGTAGTTTTTGAAGGCTCAACATCAGATCCCTTTGACATCCGAAGCAGAGTGAAACGGCTGTGTCCTCGTGCCAACTCTGTTTCAAATCTTTTTTGCTGTCATGCTGCTGAAGCATGCGTTTGGAACTGCAACAGAAGGTGTTTATCTACGGACTCATCTGATTTTTGTGCCTCTATTCCCAAATTTTGAGATTGGGCATACAAAGTCCCAAACATTTGATACTTTAATTTTTTGGAGGCCATTTCAATCTTTCCAATAAGTAGGGTCTGTATAAATAGTACTATATCCTTTACCAAAGTGGCCAACCCTCAAATATCTTTCCGAAATTTCCACTATTTTATCAACAAACCCAACCTACAATCATAAACCTCCCCTAGGTTCTTCCTCCCATCCATACACAGATATTATAGTATATAAATCAACTTTTAGCCCAACAATTTAAATTACACCCGCGGCAATATTATCCCACAAAATCCAGCAAAAAAAAAAAAAAAAAAAATCCAGACTAAACAGCAGACACAGGGAATCAGTCTCTCCAGTAGATATCCTTATAATCTTCCTAATGTTCTTTCCATTTAATCCAAAGATTCAATAAAAGATAAAAAAAACTCCAGTCCTGGTTTCCCTAGCTCCTCAGTCTAGTTGGTTGCGTCGTCTCACTGATGATTCACAGTCCAATTTCTTTTTTCCAAAAGCTTATTCCTCCTTCTCCAAAAACCCAGCAAGATTCTGTTATCAGAGTACCACGCAGTCTAGGGAAAAAGGTCCAGGCTAAACAGCATTCGCAAAATTTCAATCTCTTAAAGCCTTTTCATTTGTATTTCACTCTGGGATTTTTTCCGGAAACAAAAGATTTTTCCATCTCACTGTCTCTCTTTCGGCCTTGAACCAGCCTGCTGTTTGAGAATCAGTTTCGTTTTTGAAGAAGCAGGCTGGTAAGCAAAACTCGCCACTCCTTATCTTCTTTCGGCCAAGTATTTTCACTCTAATTTCTTTTTCAGCTTAATAGGGTTGTTCATAAATCAAAGGCTTCAACTTACCTTGTTGTTATATATTTTCAATGCCGTATTGCTTGTTCTCCTCTCCTCGGGGGTGGATGGGGGTGGAGGTGCTCACAGCTCTCTGCCAAAATGGCTCCCACATCCGATCTGTGCTCAGGTGAATTTTCAGAAGAAAGAAATACCAGGTTGCTGCCCAATCTTCTTCCTTCTGGTGCTCACCAAGTGCTTCAGAGAGACCTCTCCTGGTCTCCCCTTCGATTCCCCATTTCTAGAGGGACCCCCAGACCGGGCGGTTCCAGCTTTTCCCGGGAGCTGTTCCTGGGAGCTGCTGGCAGCACCGTGATGAAGCTCTGCCTCCGGCCTCTCCCAATTTGAAGAGACCCTTGTCAACAAGGCTGAGGCAAAGAGGCAGACCCGAAACTAGCAAAATCAGGGATCTGGACAGGGGACAGATTGTATTTGACTTCAGTGTGGAAGGGAGTGTCACTCTCGAATTGGCCTTCTCAGCCACACTAGATGCTGTTCCAAGTCCTCCACACAGAGCACGTTACCATAGTCTCTCGAGACTGAAGGATGCGTAATTTAATCTAAGTTTATGATTCATGCAGTAATCTTCTGTAAAGAGCCAGCATATTTTAGGAATAAAAACATTTTAATTTTAAATAAATGTGTGAGAAACACATGTTGGTATGTACAGATGGCTGAGTCTGCAGTCTTGAGTTGTTACAGTTATATATAATCAATCTGCTAGATATTATTTGACTGGATTGAATCTAGTTTGTATTTTTCCTTTTTAATGATCGGAGTTGAAGTTTATGACTATTAATTCATGTAAACAAGTGTTGATATTATGCACTTGCTTCAACTTTCTAAATATATTCTTCATGTAAATGGCAACTGAAGTAACTTTGGTTTGCATTTGGGTTTGAAATTCCAACATGTAGTAAGTCTGTGGGGTATGTGTTGTGTGCGTTATTCTGAATTTTAAGTAAAATTTACCTTATTTCTCTAGTATTAAAACATACCTCTTTTCCTCCACTATTTCCACTTTAGGGTGGGCCTTATCATGATCTTTTGCACAGTGTCTTGGGAGCATATACATGTTACAGACCTGATGTAGGATATGTAAGTATCTGTACAATATTGTAGTATACTTTATTTGTAATAAAGTAGAGGTGCAGAGGTTAATTTAAATCCACATGATAGCCATATGTTCATCAGAATTCATAGAGGAGACAGAAGAAGCAGAGGAATAGCCTTCTGTATCTATTGGTACTGGTTTATCTGTAGTACGATAGGATGTCTTATAACAAAGGGCAAGTTTCTAATGGCCACAACATTTGAAGAAGGAGATTGAAAATGTGAAAGGGATCCAGAGCACTTCAGGTGATGGTCTGGAAGCCAAGCCTGGTGCAAAATAGTTGCGGCAGTTTGATGTGTTTTTCTTAGAGAACAGACAAATGAGAAATGCCATTATAGCCATCTTCAGATATTGGAAAGTCTATTGTATGGAGGATGATGCAAAATTGTTTTCTATTGTTCTAGAGGAGAGGAACTGAACTAATGGATTCAAATTACAAGAAAAGCAATCTTGACTAAATATTAGGAAAAAACTCCTGTCTGTAAAAGCTGTTTGACAGTGAAATGGACTATCTCGGAAAGGTGGACTTTCCCCCATTAGGGATTTTTAAATAGAGGTTGGTGGCCATCATTCAAGAATGCTTTGGCTGTGGATTTCCTGATTCATTGTAAAGTTTGGGGATCCTTTCCAACTCTATAGTTCTGTAAATGATGATGCAAACTTGCCTGGGACTAATCACTGGTAGGACAAATGAAGCTTCTGCTGAAACATGCACAGAAGTACAGTATTTCCCAGTGACATTTTTCCCAGGCAGGGGAGAAAACCCCTGAATGCCGCCATGTCTGTGGATGCACAGGTTTCTTTTGCTGTAACATATTAGTTTGGAACTACCACTTTTAGCTTCTTTCTATAGAAACTAAGAGGTATGGTTTTGTCATTCGCAATGTTGTACACTTTAACCCATCTACCCACGAGTAGAAACCTGAAATGTGACTGTATTACTTCCCCTTAACTGCTTTGACAGTTTGAGTGATACATCTCAATGTGTGCAGTACAAAATAAATGTAACATTTCTGTAACTCATTACTCTGCTTTTCATAATTTATTATGATGGTAGTACACTAGTAGTCAGTGAAATTAGCTTATACATAATTGTATATACTATATACAGTGGTGTGTGTATCTGTATACACATTACAGTTGCTCACTCAGGGTTGGATAAATGGGATAAGAGATATAATAACTTAATGGTTATAGGACCTAGAAGACTGGATTGGATGTGGCACAACTTATGTCTTTAGAGGTACTAAATCCAAAGTCCATACATCCACAATGATGTTCAGTATCTGGCAGAAGAGGAACAATAGGAAGAAGATGGACAATTGCCTTGACATGAAAAATGTGACTCTACTTGGTATGCTCACCCACTGCTTTTGTAATTTAAAGGTCCAGGGAATGTCCTTCATTGCTGCGGTCCTCATTCTTAATCTGGAAGAGGCAGATGCTTTTATTGCTTTTGCCAACCTCCTGAATAAGCCATGCCAGCTGGCCTTTTTCCGTGTGGATCACAGCATGGTATGTACTCATGTATATGTACCTTATGTTAATATTCTTACTCCAGGTTTTTACTTGACTATGTTATTTTATATACCATACTCTGTTAAATAGTTGGTGTAATTTCTTGGTATTATAGGGAAGATTTAGATATCTATATAAGTAAAAATTTTGCTGTTCTCCATATTGCAGGGAATCTGGGAGACGAAATGGTGTGTGTTTGAATAGTGCCTAAAGTTATTGTTGAAGACATATATGAGATAATATGTTGTTCTTTTTCCTTAAACCAGCAGAATATATTCTATAGTTCCTTCACAGTTTAAGCACTGTTCTTCTGAACCAGATTATTCTTATTTTTCCCTTTTTTTTAAACAGATGCTGAAGTACTTTGCAGCATTTGAAGTATTTTTTGAAGAAAACCTCCCCAAGTTGTTTCATCATTTTAAATCCTACAATCTTACCCCTGATATATACTTGATAGATTGGTAAGTTTAGGGATTATTCAGATTTATTTCTTTTCATTTATGGCCACATCAAGTTAAATTGAGGGATTTAGAACTGATAGTTGACACAAAAGAAATGGCTCCCTGGGAAACGTTTCTTCTGTGGTTGAAAGTGGGCCAAATTGGGATAGTGTTAATGAAATTATGATGTGGGTGATTAAACTAGACATGGACATAAAAAGTAGATTCAGTGATAGATCTGTGAGGGATATATGGAATATGGCCAGTGGTTTTTGGCTTCCATTTGTTTCATGACAATGACAGAAGGCTCCCCTACTTAAAATAGACTGCTGGTATAGAAGAAAGAAGGTTGGTAGAGAAGCAGGTGTGATTTTTTTTTGTTAAAGAATAAGAGTTCTCTTGTAGCAGAAAGAAGCTCCTTGGCTCTATCTATGTCCAGGGGTAGAGTTGCTTCTTAATTATAAATCTGTTCCTCATCCTTCTAAGCCACTGTTTTGCTAATAGCTTCAGGTAGCCTACTCTGGGATTTTAGTTTTTTAATAAAGGAAACCCTGCAAGCCTTAAACCTATTCTGAGCAATTTGCCATGTTTACAATTGCATCAGTGAAAATTTGCTTTAGGCAAGGTGGTTTTCCCACTCACTCCTCCGTGTTACAACCCAGGAAGACCTTGGTGGTACTGTTTTGTGGGAAATGGGTTAAATTAGGCAGATAAACTTGTTCGAGTGGAATGTCTATTGTCATCTTCCTAGATCTGAAGCATTACATGATGTTTAAACAAAGTTGTCATTAATATTGAAAGATGGAATCAGGGCATGTGCTTTGTTCTCCTGTGCCTTGATGTGTTACAATTTCAAAATGCAGGATCTTCACCCTGTACAGCAAGTCACTACCCCTTGATTTGGCCTGTCGAGTCTGGGATGTCTTTTGTAGAGATGGAGAAGAATTTTTGTTCAGAACTGGTTTAGGAATTCTTAGGTTATATGAAGATATTCTCCTTCAGATGGACTTCATTCATATAGCACAGTTTCTAACAAAGCTGCCTGAAGACATCACATCAGAGAAGCTCTTCAGCTGTATTACATCTATTCAGATGCAGAATAGTAACAAAAAATGGGCCCAGGTAAGTGACAAACATATCTAGTTAAATATATTTAAAATTAATATTAAAGTGAATGTATTAAAGAACTGATTCTGCTATTCAAACAACTTACAAACAAACAAAAATAAAAAACTTTCAAAAACAGCTTACTAAAACCATCAACATTGAAAAGGGATTTATAAAGCAGAGATGAAACTGATTTGACAAATCTGGGAAGGTAAGTCTTTTACTGGTGCTGAAGGACTGTCCCTAGTCTCCCTGTGTATAGCATTTTATAACTGGGATGCCACCATTGGGGGTCCTTCCTGTAATAACCATCAACCAATTCTCAAATGGTAGTAGAATCTGGCAAATGTCCTTTGTTGGGAACCTGTGTGTAGAGGCCAGGTACATTTGTAGGCAAATGAAAGGCAGCCCATCTAGGAGAAAGAAAACTCCGATTTCACAACCACACTGAGGTGCTGCCATCGCCGCCCATGCCATGAGGGAACAGACCGGGTAGGTGAGACTCATCAGCCCTAGAAGGCAGCCCATCTAGGAAAAGGAAAACTCTGACTTCGAACCTCCATTTGCCTTATGGCTATATCCACTGATGAAAAAGGCTTCAGGAGTAAACCTTGAGGCAAAATCCGGAGCCGGAGTCCCGGAGGCAGTTTGTGTCATTCTGTCAACTCCTGCGACATCACTGGAACCAGTTGTATTGGCTCTTGCCTTTCCATTGGACTATTTCAGTGACATGGAGAAGGGGGTTTTGCTGGTTGGGTATCACCCTGTCCTCCATATTATTTTACTCAGGCTTCATGCCCTGGAGAGGACACTCGCGTACAGCATCAAAACACTAGATGCTGTTCCAAGTCCTCTATGCAGAGCATGTTACCATAATCTCGAGACTGAAGGATGTCTATGAAGGTCTTTCAGAGATAAATCTCCAGCCGTAAATGTTGAAGCCAGCATTTTGAACCACTCAATGCAAGATGATCCCCTATAGTAATCTAGAAATTGCATTTTACACTATAAAGTTTCTAGCTTCTTCCCCTTCAGCATTGTTTGCAAATACAGCTACACATATAAGGCAGCACAGTAGTCTAACCTGAAGGTTATTATGGCAGGATTATATAGCTAGGTTATTAGGACATGATTATATGTATTACACTTACGCTTCAGTTGGATCACCACCTGAGGTTGTAAAATGAGCTCTGTGCTATTGAGGTTATTTGTGCCTGTAGAGATAAAGATGTCTCAACAAGCAGCCATGGACTGTGAAGCAGTTACTTCAGAGGAATTATAATTTTGTCTAGTACAGGATAAACCCCATGAATCCAAGTAGATAAATCACTCGACAGCATTTCTGTGATACATTTCTGTATCCATATCTCTTACTATAGATGTGCTCTTATTCAGCACATTGATTGCATACCAGATTAGATGTAAAAAAAAGTAGTAGTAGAGCTAAGTGTCATCTGCATATTAACAGCAACTCACCCTACATTTGCAGATATAGATAACAAAAAAGTGAAGGTACAAAAGAAAATAGTTTCAAACTCAACTTTATAAATGACAGGGAGCCGTCAATGGTCGATATGCATCCTTTTTTGGAATTAACCATCCAAGTTAGATCAGAACCAGCATAACATAACAATGAGTACCATCCATTATTTTCTCAGAATGTGTCTTACATTCAGAGTGCTTATTTTTCTTTCTGTAATGAATTCTCGCGCTACTACATTGTAGACCAGGGGTCTCCAAACTTTTGACCGTGAGGGCCACAGTGGATATTTTCAACATCTTTGAGGGCTGAAGGAACAGGAACGTGTGCTGCACGTTCGCGCACACGCCCCCCTTCCCACCCCACGCACACATGCCCTCCCCGCATGTACAGATGCATGTATGCACAGACCCCTGCATATGCATGGGCTGAAGGGAACAGGCTGGGTAAAATGGCAAGGCGGGGCGGATGTGGCCCATGGGCCGTAGTTTGGAGACCCCTAGTGTAGACCAATACATCAGAACTCTTGTCCTAAAATCTGGCCACTTTCACACTGTGGTCCTTAGGTTTGTTTAATAAACCTTATTAAACTTATGTTTGTTGTGGAGAATAAAGTAGTGAGGAGGAAAGCTGTGTATGCTACTTTCAGCTGACTGGAAGAAAGGCGACATGTGGATATAGAACAAGTAAATTTTATATATATTTTCTGAAGATTAAAATGGATACTCCTTTCATTTGCTTGTTGTGGAAGAAGTTGTTCTGTTGACTGGAAGGTAAAAGGAAACATGACATGTATTTATGAGGCTGCTCTCAAAATGTTGTTTCACTTAGTCATGGCACTGGACCACTGTGAAACATTGTGGTGGGGATAGATTGTTTTGCTATGTATGGAAAGACACTGTATTGAGAATAATATTGATTAATATTAATACGATGATACAATGACTCACATTAACCTTTATTTTAATAATTTACAGGTGTTTGCCTCATTAATGAAGGACAGTAAAGAAGGAGATAAGAATAGTCCAGCACTAAAAAGTTAACTTCCAAGTTTAATGGGAATAATAAATAAATAAATGTATCAAACACCACTCACTTCTTAAAGGATTTTAAACATCTCCATGAAAACCACTAGAGAGAAACAGCCTGGGAGACTTAAAGAAGAGACAGTATTTGACTGAACGCAGTGGTGGAATTGGACGGTCTTCACCCTGCTGCCAGTATTAAAGAACTTTTTGTGGGAAGAGTTCTTTTCACAGGAAGTGCAACAATTAAAACTTGTGAACCTGAGAAAGTGGCTAATGCATATTTAATATTTAAAGTTGAATGCAATAAAATTTGTAATAACTTTTGTTGGTACTTAAAATTTTGAGGGATACCTTTTTTTATGATTACCACAAAGGCACTTTTGGGAGGAGGGCTGGTGTTTAAAGTAAGGCCCAAAAACTGCTACCTGAACCAAACATTTTGGTACAAATACCTCCAAAATTAACTAGTGAAATATTTAGGACCAAAAAAGATATATTTTTGGGGTATGCATGCTTGCCAGATAATAGGAAGCTTTATGTATGTCTTACTAAGCTCCTTTTAAACTGCAGCTTCACTCTTCAGCTAAGTGAATGTATGTATGCTAGAAAAGATAAAGCTGCACTAAGTCTCCCCACAGGGTCATTGGCATAAAGATGGCAGTAATAAAGTAAATCATTTGGGTAGTGTACTTGTATAAACAAATGATGGGTATTCAGAATCATTTTCTTCTTCTTTCTGAAGTTTTTTTTAAAGTACTTGGTGGACAGCGTGGTTAAAGGCAAAATTGGATTTCTGTTCCATGAAATTCAAATGAATTTTTTGTTTTTTTAATCAAAGTGGCTTATACTTGATGATAAACACTAGTATAATTAATAAGCTAGTGGTAAGTCCTTTTTGCACATTTTAAGCAATGTTAATGTTGAAAATTTCAGTCCCTATATATTAAAGCTTTTTGCTCACTTACATTCAGTGGTAAATAGTTTTGAACTGCAGTGTGTACAGTAATGAGTTCCCCAAATGCATACTGTCAGTCTATTATCTTATTGTTCAGCAACATCATACTGTATGACATATGAACTTCTTAGACTTCTTTCACACTCCAAAACATTTTAAAATGGTTTTGAACCAGAGGGGGAATATTTAAGGATACCTCTTAAATTTCTGAACAGCTAATGTTTGTTCTTTCTAAGTCCATTTTGATAGTATTAATGTAAATAAGACTGCATTATGTTATTTTGTACACTGTCCCGTCATGTGCAAATAAAGTCAAAATTATCATTGCATTAAAAAAAAAGGAAAAGAGTGAGATCACTTCAGTTGTCAAATGTTAAAAGAAGTTGCAGAACCGGTTTTAAAGATTTGGCTTACAATATGTTGTACTATTTATGTTGCTATCAGATTTAAAACTACACTTTACTTACAACATACAATTTGAAGTTAAACTGTTTTTCCTTTTCTTATGTATTTACTTACTTGGTTCCAGTGTATGTCCTCTGTGTGGGTTCTCTTGTACAGTTTTCTTACTTTTCAAGTATAAACATGTATATAAATTGTAAATAGAAGGAATTTAGCCTTCATCCAGGACCACTAGTAACAATTCCTCTGTAAATAAAACTTGTAAGCAGCATGCCTGGTGTCCTTATTTGATTTTCTGCTCTTATATTAAACACAAAGGAATAATTACTGATTGCATAGCCTTCAGCAGTTTCTAAGGGACCGTTTATGAATCCATTTAGAATGGAGGAATGGACCCTGAAGTATGTACATTAAAGTTTTTCTCCTTGATTTTTTTTCATAGTGAAAGCTCCTACTTGGTTATAACTTTTCAAACAGTTACATTCTTCCTTGACTATTTATTTTATATTAAGGAATTAAGCAAATTAGTTTGGCCATAGATCCAAGTAAAACCTTAGTAGGAAAGCAAAATAGAGACCACACAGTGATTTGAAACTGGATATGGCCAGGGAATTTTTTATTCCATTGTTATCAGAGACTGGGCTTCTTGGCTTTGGATGCCTTAGTGCCGAAAGTATAATTGGGTTTCTTGGGCAAGGAAGACTTATGGATGCTTGCCATTTAGAAGTTAAATGTGGCAGTGCTGCTAATTGGGCTTTTCTTGATTTGCCTCTCTCTTTGGAAGAAATGGTACTACTAATAGACTTATAAAAAATGTTGCTCGCTTCTGACTTCCTTGCAAATAGTTTTTGGCACAAGCCTTGAAGTTACGATTGTGCGAGAGAAAGGAATTTTGAGGGTAATATCCCCATAACATGGGGGTGGCATTTAGGGAGAGGCATTGTTGCTGGAACTCAGCAGCGTCCAGTAGGATTATAAAAATTATTCAGATCAACACACAAGTGTGTATAGTGGACTTACAGAGTCTTCTGAAGAACATTAAGAGGTTTTTATTGTATAATCACAACAAATTCAAGAGTATTATTTCTTTTGTAAACTTCCACAGTCAAGGGATCGGTGTATTTGAGGCAGTGTGGGGTAGTAGGTAGAAAATCAGCCTAGAGATCTGGGTTCAAATGTCCACTCAGCCACTGGGAAATGGCAATAATAGACATCCTTGGATATCTTACATACCCGTTAGGATTGTCATACAATGGGAGGGGTTTGAAGACACACAATACTGCCTTTCTGCTAGAACAAAATTACTTCTGCCAGAAGTAGATCTTTTTCAAATGCTTGACATTTACCGTATTTTTCCGTGTATAAGACTAGCCTTTTGTCTAAAATCTCAAGCCACCTAGAGTGGTCGAAATGACTAGATAGGCGGGGTATAAATACAATAAATAAATAAATAAAAATGGAGGGTCGTCTTATACACGGAAGTAAGCTGAGGAGAGAACAAAAACAGCACTGATCCCTTTCCCCTTACGCTTGCTAAGCCCCACTTTCTTAATTTTGGATTAGAAAAGTGGGGGTGTCTTATACATGAGGGCAGCAAAATCAGAGAGCTGGACAGGGGACAGATTGTATTTGTCTTCAGTGTGGAAGGAATTGTCACTCTTGAATTGGCCTTCTCAGCCACACTAGACACTGTTCCAAGACCTCTATTCAGAGCATGTTACCATAGTCTCTCGAGACTGAAGGATGCCTACTACAAAATTGTGGGAAGGAGGCTGGGAGTAGAGGCAAGCAAGGAGAAGGCTAGTTCTCTGTCAGAAAAGTTTGAGACTTAATTTAGGGGACATTAGGTAAAAGATGTTGATTGCAGCCAAATTAAGAATGTGACCTAGTGGTCAGAGGAGGATAGAGGTGCTTAGAGAAAGATGAGAGTCCTATGTCACTTAAGGAGTACCTGAAACCTCACACTTATATAACAAGCTTCTAGTCTCCAACATAGCCTGCTATTTTAACTCAGATCCTGATACCACAACCTCTGGTCTGGATGGTTCTTGACTTACTGTGTTTCCCCTCACCACTACAGTACTGTACTTCAAGCTCCACAGTGCTCAGCCTGAAAGATTCAAACATTTGCCTGTGCAGTAATATTTTAGTAGTGTAGTTCAATAAAACCAATTTTAACCCTACCTTTCTCCTTAAATAGGGATGTGGTGGTGCTGTGGGCTAAACCATAGAAGCTCAGCAGTTTGTGGGCTAAACTGGTGGTGCTGTGGGTTAAACCACAGAAGCTCAGCAGTCGTAAGATTGAATCAACGCAACAGAGTGAGCTCATTTCGCTTGTCCCAGCTCCTTCCAATGTAGCAGTTCGAAAGCATGTACTGTACAGTAAATGCGAGTAGATAAATAGGTACCACCTCGGTGGGAAGGTAACAGTATTCCATGTCTAGTCGTGCTGGCCACGTGACCACAGAAGCTGTCTTTGGACAAACGCTGGCTCTATGGCTTGGAAATGGGGATGAGCACCACGCCCTAGAGTCGGACATGACTGGACTAAATGTCAAGGAGAAACTTTACCTTTACCTTGTCCTTAAAAAAGACCCAAGCTGGCTTACATCAGTAAAAGTCAATACCTGTATATAAAAGCTTAAAACTGTAAGTATATTAATCTTAAAGAATCAAATAATTACCATCCCAAAAATGGTATACAAAATCAACACCAGAAACACATTCAAAGTAACAATGCACAACAATCCATTTAAAAACCCCTCTCTCTGGCAGTCACTAAGGGAAAGCCCACTTGAAAAGAAAGGTCTTCACCTGCTTGTGGAAAGAGGGGGCCAGCCTGGCCTCCAGTGGGAGGGAGTTCCAGAATCTGGGAGCAGCAACAAAGAAAATTCTTTCCCTTGTATCCACCAAACACAGCTGTGAAGGCAGAGGGGCTGAGAGAGAAGCCTCTCCTGATTATCTTAACACCTGGGCAGGATAAAGAGAGATGCGGTTTTAGGTAACTTGGACTCAAGCCATTTAGTACTTTATAGATTAAGCCCAGCACTTTGGATTGTTCCTGGAAACGGATCCAGTGGAGTTGGTGTAAAAAAGGTGGGTTATGTGATCCCAGTAATCAGCCCCAATTAACAGTCTGGCTACAGCCTTTTTGAATTATCCATCCTTGTTTCTGGAACCATAACAAAGGTTAAAGTGGATCCAGTCTCCATTCTGGGCCATCCTTACAACCCGTCTTCCTTTAGATGGCACAAGGCTTTGGTCTGGAGGCAACGCATTTCAAAAAGAGGCGAGTTTCGCCCTTGCGCAGCCCTCTGATCAGCTGAGAACCCGCGAGTTATACCAAAGAGAGAAACTGGATCTTGTGCTGCGGCTGAGGTCCAAACGATGAGGCTGAGCGCCGTTTCGGATGAAAGCTATCCCTGTTGCGCACCCATTACCCTGACAAGCCAATTCAATCCCACCCCTTGCAGGGAAAGAGATCGACTCCCGGCAAGAATCCACCCCAGGTTACAGAGCCCTGGATTGATGACGAGCGGCCACGGGGCGAGGAACACCCCGTCCACTTTCTCCCTCAAGACTCTTAAGGGAGAGTTTTTCCTTTTCCCCTCCTTGACGGCAGGGGCCGCTGTGGGCAAGCAGGAGCCGGTTGGTCGGACCCCATATATCCGGCCCCGTCTGGCTCGGAGAAGCCACTTCCGCCGCCTCGCGTGCCTGCCGCGGGTTGGTCTTTCCCGGAGAAGAGCGGCGTGTTTGAGGGGTGCCTGGTCTTCCTCCGCCGCCATGAAGCCGGTGAGGGCGAGAGCGCTGGGCGCGGGGGTTGGCCGTGGGATAAGGGGAAGCCGACTGTAACGGAACGTGTGTATGGTGGTCTACGGGAAGGGGCGGTGGAGCGGGAGGTTTGAGCAGTTGCTCCTTGGGCAGCATGTGGTCCTTAGGGGTAAGTCCTGTGTCCGGGCAGTGCGAGAGGCCGCTTGAAGGTGGGGTGGAGTAAGGGGTGGAGGCGAGTAGGAGAAGGAGCCACCGGTGGTTGTATCGTGGACGCTTCGGTAGGAGGCGCACCGAGAGCAACATATGCCTAACGTGTAATGCGTTGCTTTTATTCTATTAATTGGGCGACGTGTCTTGTGGCAATGGTGTTAAAATATACATGATTAAGAATAAAAGAATAAAAGGCTTGGTAGGAGCATAAAACAAAGACAACTCCTGCAGTCAGACCAGTTGATCCAACTGGACCAATTTCCAACGTAATTCAGATTGTCCAAAATCAGGGTTGATTTCCTTCAGAATTGATAGGTTTGTTCTCCTTGCAGTCCAGGGGACTCTCAAGAGCCTCTCTCCCGCACGCAGCCAATACTAAAATGGGGGTCTGTTTGGACAACTTTCCTTTAATCAAGGTCATTCTTAATTGATTTATTGGTGTTGCTCTTAATTATGACAGCCTGTGGAATGTTAACTTCATATTACTGCCTAATTAAGGAATTCTTAAGGCAACTGTCCTTTTCGGTGTTTAGACTTGTAGAGCTGTAGTGGCGGAAGCTGCTGCAGCAACTTGAAGAACTCCAGGCTGTGTGTGGTTGTGGCCCTGTTTGTGCAACCTGGTTGTACAACTGGGCATGGCTGACAATATCTGATATTTAACATCCATTATTATATATTGGTGTGAAAACACTTCATTCTTACTGTTTCCAGAGAAAAAATACCAAGCGGGGTCCAAGCTTCCGTAAGTTGTTGAAAACAAGTAAAATAAAACTTGACAACAAGTTAAAAAACAAACAGTACAAGCAGCAGAGCACTGCAAAGAAATACAGAAAAGAACAAAGGAAATTGAGACAAGCTGTCAAAGATGTCGTATCCAGGAAACCGGTACCTTTGGATGACCAGAAAAAGCATCCAGGTGAGACATAACAGTGCTGTGCACAAAAAGTAAGTAATGGCAGCTAGGGTTGTTATAAGGTTTCCTTTTTTTCTTGAAAGCCATATCACTGTTGTTTATCAAAGCAGGGATAAACAAGTTGCAGGCCTGCTGTCATCCCTTAACCTCTGACTGTGGTATCTGAAGCTGATGGGAGTTACAATTCAATATTTGGGGTGTCACAAGTTGTCCATGTTGAAGTGATGGTTCTTTAGGTATGTTCCTGGCTTTGATTGTGATCCGTCATGGCAGAATATGCCCTTTACATAATGACTAGAATCCTACAGCATATTATACTGTACAAGTGTAGCTTTTTAGTGGGAAATTGCCAGAAGTTAGGAAATATGTATAAGCATTTTGTGTTGCATCTTGAGTTTCACAAGTGGTGTTTAATAGGAAATGCCCATACTGACTTCTTAATTTGCTGCTAAACATTACACCAATTGAATCATTTTGATGAACATGGTTAACAAGATTCTGGCTATTGTAAAACATTACAGCTGTTCAAAATGAGGATAGATTAGTTTATGAAGATGCCACTCAGTAAAATATCAGGGTGTTTGAATGTGAAAAAAATTAACTTTTGAAACTTGATCTTCGTAGTGAGAGACAGTGAAAAGTAGGCTGCATTCTACTTTGTAACTTTCCAGAGTTTTTTATCACAAAATCTAATGCTGGCTTGATTATAGTTTTAATGAATGTTCATTTATGAGCAGAGCAGGCAGGTATTAAAAATGAATGTCTGATTAAATAATTGAAAGAATGGATATCGCTATGATAGATACTAGTATCAACAGAATGACAGCTGTATCTGATGAAATTTACTCAAGTCTGTGAAAGCTCATGCCATATTATATATGTTGGGTTTTAAATGCTACAGATCTCTCTTTGAGATCAACAGAATAGTAAGTTACAGTGGCTGAAATTTAGTAGTGTATTCTTAGTTACATTTATGATTATAAAAAGAACTGTGTTTGACAGGGCCAGAGTTTTATTTTGTCCCATTTTCTGTTTCCAGCTGGGCACTTGAATGCTTCTTAGAAGCTTTGAAACACATCCTGAAAGCAGCATTTCTTCCCTGTATTATGTCCCAGAATTAAACACAGTTTAAAACCCATTTGAACATCTCAGAACAAATTTACACTAGAAGGCAGCTTTGTATAATTCAGCCCTAATTAGCTTTCTAAAAACAGAGAAGGATGGTGCCTAGTGACCCTATGTAGGACGCTTGTTCCAGAAGGAAGCTTGGTTTCTTGTGTTGGCTTTTTTGTTCTCCTTAGGTGTTGCAATTCTTAATATGATGGACCACAAGGACTGTGTAGGGCAGGTAGCTATTTTTGGGAGATGTTCTGCCAGATACTTGGGCAATAAACTGTTAAGAATTTTACAGGTTATGACCAGCACCTTAAATTGAGCACAGAAACTAACAGGGACTCAATGAAGGTGTGCCAAGACTGGGAATATGTGTTTATATCTGTTGGCACTTGTAATTAGTCTGGCTGCCTCATTTTGGACCTGCTGGTTTCCATACTGACTTCAAGGACAGCCCTACATAAATAATATTACAGTAGTCTATTTGGGGGATTACAAACACATGGGCTACTGTTGTTAGCCATTTCTTATCCAGGTAGGAGTGTAGCTGGGCAATCAACTGAAGTTGATATAAGGTGCTCTTGGCCACATATAATTGTTCCTCCATAGAGAGAGCTGTGTCAAAGAATACCCCCAGGCTGTGAACTTGATATTTCAGTATAACCCCTTTGAGATCAGATAAATATTCCTCTGATTATTATTGTTAGAGTGAGTATAGGTTGTTTAACCTTCTAACCCATCCTGTTCAGAAGGCTAGGGGTAGGTAACTGTAGTTATAAATAATGTTTTGGATTTCCCACTGAATAGATTGGGATTATTAGTTATGATAAATAAATAATCAACCCCCCCTAATCTTCTCATGCAAAAATTCATATCTGCACCAAATGATCACAGGGCAGGGTCATAAAACCTGGTTACTAGTCTCATTCTTCCATATCAGAAGTGGCATGCCTCTGTATATCAGTTTCTGTAGAATTTGAGACAGAGGTAGTTGCTTGTTGGTGGTTAGGTTTGCCTTTCCCACCCTCAGTGAGCTCTTCTGCCTTGGCTACTCACAATGGAGTACTGTGCTTTCAGAAGCCAAGGAAACAATAGGGTCCCATCAGCTGTAAGGGTTGCACATTGAGCAGCTGAAAGTTGCAAATGGTGCACATCCATTTCATTTTTTGACAAATTGGTCTTGGAAAGATAATGGGGAGCTGAATTTCAAGGCAGAGATGGGCCAGAAATAACACCAAATTAAAGTGTGGCATGTGAATGAGCAGTCGGAGGATCTTTCTGTGCATCGCTGTTTGCTCCTCCTGATCCTGATTTGAGGCTAACCATAGTTTGCAGCTTTAGATGAACAGCAAAAGTATGGTTTATTCTTCTACATGTCCAGTTTTGAAGCCAGTAATTGGGAGGGTATACCTGAGCACCACAACGAAAAAGCAGGATGAGCATGTAAGAGTTACACCATGAGAAATATAAGGGTAGAAAAATAGATTTTGCAGTGTTATGTGTCTGTGTTCCTAAGTACCTCCAATGTTTCTTCACTTTGGCAGAAAGGAAGGAAGAAGAGGAGGAGGAAGAAGAAGCTCTTCCTCTTGATATGATGGATGAAGATGACCTAAAGTTAATGGAGGAACTGGCTCAGAAAGCATCTTTTATAACAAGAGACCTGTCTTCCACGTAGGTGTTTGCAAAGTTGATTGATATAACAAACAGGCTGTGCATCTTCCTTAATAATGCCTTGTATATCGGTCTCTCAGTGGCAGGCCTCAGATGTGAAAGGCCTTGGCAAATGAAAGCACTTTACGGTGGTTCTAATACTGCTTTCATATAATTGCCTTGTGAAGCAATATTCCTTCTTTATGTAGAAATAGGAATAGAAACAGTAATAGGAGTTTGTTTTTTAGTATTCTGAAGTGCATATCCAAGGGCTGCGGAGACTGAATGTGCATAAGGGCAAGGCAAGAAGTGGTGAAAAGTTTGCTGGTTTAGGAGGGGAGTTTGTTGGTTCCTTCTCAAGAGGCTGAGCAGCTGATGGTGAAATTTGAGAATGCTTTGCAGGGACATCACAAGTACCTGAGATTAATTTGAATTGCATTTCCTGCAGTTGCTTGATAGAGTAGTGGTTCTCAAGCAGTGAGACCCACATGATTTGTGTTACACAGAAGTAGTTCCTGTGGGATGTATGGTTCTTAGAAACATTACTAAGAATCCACTCTTCCTTAGCCCTCATGTTCATTGTTGTAAGCCGCCCAGAGACCTTTGGGTAGAGTGGGCAGCATATAAATGAATGAATGAATGAATGAATGAATGAATGTTCTACAAGTGTGATGGTTTATCACTTATGTCTACTACAAATTATCCATCTGTGATCTTTAAGAATTATAGAATGCTGAAGTTGGATGGGGTCTTTAAGGCCAAGGAGTCCCAACCCTCTGCTTAATGCAGGGATACAAATCAAGGTATATCTGAGAAATGGTTGTCCAATTTTCTCTTGAGTGCCTCCAGCATTGGAGCACTCGCCACATCCCAAGATGATTGGTTCCATTGTCATACTGCTCTTAGGAAGTTTTTTCTGATGTTCGTCTGAAATCTGGCTTTCTGTAACTTGAGCTCATTATTATATGTCTTGTGTTCTAAGTGATTGAGAACAGATCTTACTCCTCTATATCAGTGGTTCTTAACCTTGGGTTACTCGGGTGTTTTTGGACTGCAACTCCCAGAAGCCTTCACCACCAGCTGTGCTGGCTGGAGTTTCTGGGAGTTGCAGTTCAAAAACACCCGAGTAACCCAAGGTTAAGAACCACTGCTCTATATGACCATATTTCAAGTATTTGAAAAGTGCTATCATATCTCCCCTTAGTTGTCTTCTCTCAAGCCCAAACATGCTCAGTTCTTTCAGTCTTTCCTCACAGGGCTTGGTTTCCAGTCCCCTGCTCATCTTTGTTCCTCTCCTCTGAACTCATTCTCTGAATTCACATCTTTAAAGTGTGATGTCCAGATTTGGACACAGTAGTCAAGACCAGTCCTTTATTGTCTTTCTCCCAGTAAGGAACATCTCTTGCTAAACTCAGCTCACTCTCAGCTTTTATCTTCCTAGCTCCATCCTTGCAATATTTTGCTGCTTGTCTGTACTCTATGGCCTGAATATCCCTACACTTCCTATATGTGTCCTTTTTTATTTGCGTGTCCTCTCTGGGCTTTTTGTGAAGCCACTTTGGTCCCCTTCCCCCCATCTTCCATCTTTTTTCTTATTGGAATTGTTTAGGGTTGTACCTTCAGAATTTCTTTTTTAAAAGAAATTCCCACCTATCTTGGACTCCTTTTCTTAGGCTCTTCTGCCATGGGACCTTACTTGTCTAGTTCTGAGCTTATTAAAATTAACTTTCCTAAAACTGAGCATACATGTGTGGCTACATTCCACTTTTGTTTCCTTTGAAATCAATAACTTGAGTAGAAGATGATCATTGCCCCCCAGAGTTCCCCTTACTGACAGTTCTTTCATTTATATTGAGTAGAATCAAATCCAGGATGGCTAATCCTCTAGTTTCTTTCTCCACTTTTTATAGAAGAAAATGATCAGCAGCACAAACCAGGAATTTCTTGGAAGGGCCATACTTTGGCTGAATTTTCCTCCCAATAGATACTAAATGATCAGCAGCACAAACCAGGAATTTCCTGGAAGGGCCATACTTTGGCTGGATTTTCCTCCCAATAGATACCAGGTTAATTGAAATCTCCCACTACTATTGCATTGTGATTCTTTGATATACTTGCGGTTTGTTTTTCAAAGGTATCATCTTGTCCTTGATTGCATAGTTGGTAGCAGACTCCAACTTCCATGTTCCTTCTGTTTTTCTCCCCAGTTATATCAGTCCATATGCCCTCAATGCGACAGAGACGTTCATTCTCCTGTATTTCTGTGCAGGAATATGTATTTTTGACACACTGTGACCTTTTTATTCTTTCTGTTCACTTTGAACAATTTATATCCTTCAGTTGCAGTATTCCAGTGATGAGAGCCATCCCACCAAGTTTCAGTTATCCCTATCAAGTCATATTTATCTTCCTGAACTAAGATTTCTTGTTCTTTTTTGTTTCCCATACTTCTGGCGTTTATATATACTGTAAATACGAGAGATTGTGTGATTTATGACCTGCTTTCCTTTGTACATTTTTTTAATTTATAATTTTATTTTCAAAACTATTGGGTAATGGGGAAGGAATACAAAAGGCAAAGGGCAGGGGGGGATGGAAAAAGGGTTTTGAGAATAAGAAAACATCAAATGCATAATCATTCAACCTTTCATATCAAGTATATAAACATCTAATCCATTCATGTTCCAATAAAGGTTCCTCTTTCTTCTTCTTTTTCTTTTTCTTCTTTTGACTATTTTGTCTATGTGTTAACCTCTTTAGCTTTCAGCTTATACATGTAATACACTTTCCTTTGTACATTTTAATGAAGATTATTATTGGGTCCCATTAAAGTAGCTTGATCCGTTCCTCTTACTGTGTGTAAACCTTCATCTATCTTTACCTCTGAGCTTGCATCTCACTCCCCCTTCAAATTCAGTTTAAAGCCCTCCAGAGGAACTTTGAAATGTTGTGGCCAAACACCTTTTCCCCAGTCCTTGTGAGGTGCAATCCACCAATTGGCAGCAGTCCATCCTAGCAGTCCATGAAGCGTAGCCCATGGTTCTAAAATCCAAATCCAAGCCAACTTGGGTTATTTTTAAGGAGAAAGGCAGGATAAAATTATTTTGAATGAATAAGTGAATGAATGAATGTTGGCCCCACTTTCATAGCTAGTTGTTCATGCAGAGTATTTCACTTTCCTTTTCTATTCCTCTTCTGAGTACTGGTAGGAAAAACAAGAAAACTGTCTGGGCCCCAAAGTCCTTAAGTTTCCTTCCCAGAGCTTTAAAGTCTGACCAGATTTCTTCATAGTTTTTCTTTGGTGTGTCCTTTGATCCCGTGTGAATGAGAAGAAAGAGGTATATATCTAGGTATATATCTGTGTGTTTTATGAGCCACGGCAATACTTCTATCGTATTCCTAATCCATCTTCCACAGAGATAGCATACCTGGCAGGTGCGTGGATCTTCCCAGCATATTTCAGTCTCAATCCCATGCCATAGGGAGTCTCCTATTACAACTGTTTTTCTTTCCCTCTCCCTTTTTTGTAGGCCATGGGTTCAGTGACTGCTTGGGCTGAGGTACAGCCTTTCCCATGTCCTCCTGGGAGGTCTCCTGTATGTCTTCCTCTTCATGCTCTCTGGCAGACTCCTCTTTAAGACTCAAAGTGGTTTTGCAGTTCCACTGGGAAAGAGTGATATCTCCTTCTAACGGGGACTCTTTTCCATGGTGCTTCCTCTGCTATATTTGTTCTCTCTTCAGCATTTATCCTCCTCTGGTTTGTCTTTCTGTTCTTCCACCTCCAGTGCCTCCCTTGGCTGCTGCTACTTGAGAGTTCTGTCTGTGTATCCTTCATCTTCTCTTACAGCCTTAAGAATGGCTAGTTCTTTTACAGTGGTGCCTCACTTAATGGGTGCCCCGTTTAACGACGAATCTGCATAGCGATGGCTTTTTTGCTATCGCAAAAGCGATCGCATTGCGATGTTTTCTATGGGGAAAAATCGCCGCCGCTGGGCTTTGGAAGTGGCTTCTGAAACCCAGCGGCGGAGATGAGAGTGAGGGGTGGGTCGGTCAGAGCCGGGAGGAGGGCAAGGCTCGGGTGTTCCTGTCCGCCCTCCTCCCAACCCCTCACCCCCTTCGCCACCGCCACTGGGCTTTGGAAGTGGCTTCCGAAACCCAGCGGCGGAGATGAGGGTGAGGGGTGGGTTGGGCAGAGCTGCTGTTAACATAACAGTGACTGCTCTTTCTTGCCTGCCTTGAAGAATGCTGGGGAAGTCTACTAGTAGATAACTGTATCCAGAAACATTTTGTTAGGGGCCTTTCCTGTCAAACTCCTGTTAGCTCCGGCATGCTAATAGTAATTTGGGACAGTCCATGTTTCTCCTAATCCACGGTTCCCATTCCCCATCAGTTTACTGTGAATGAGAAAGATAGTCCAGGATCCATTAGATGGTTTGTGCTTGTGTAGTGGGAAATGTGCAAGTCTTGGTAGAAAGTTGCCATTCATGAACAGTGTGCTGATTGCATCCTGGGTACATGCCTGATTAGCAATGCAACCAGTATCTCATTAAGAAGTGGAAATTTGGTGCTAACTTAATGCTTGTATAAGCAAATCTCCAGTTTGAATCTGTTTGTAGTAACAGATTGTCTGCAAACATATAGGTGTCATTCTCGGGGGGGGGGAATGGTGGGTTGGATTGTTTTTTTTCCCCTGGCTTCTTTGGTAGGTTGATTTCTAGGACATGAGAGACAGAAAACAGAGGATTGCTGTAGAAAATGACTGTGGAGCACTGGAGAAGGCAGTAGGGGAGGGCTAAGAGGATCACTCACTCTCCAAATGTTGAACTTCAATTCCCGTCATGTACGCCAGCATAGCCATTTGCTGGGGTGATGAGAATTGTAGGACTGGAGGGTTCACATCTCTTCCACTTGATATAGATTTGAGATGGACACAAACCACTGGTTCGGCGCTTCATGCTGGATCAACGGATAGCTGAACAGGTGTTCTGCAGTTTGGCACCCCGCCTCCTCTGGCAGATGCCCACTCGGACGCACTGCCCAAATGAGGTAGGAAAGGGAAGCCAGGAGACTGCCTCTGAGCGGGCTGGATGCCAAACTGCAGAACATCTGTTTAGCTGTAAATTGAACCGGCATGAACTGCTGAATCGGTAGTCTGGATAAGTCACTGACAAACCCATAGTCTTGAATGGAGAACAACAAAGTTAGATTAGGCCCTCAGTGGCAAGAGGTTTGCCTTTTTAAATTTTTAACAAATCACTTCTTTATGAAATAGCATTATAAAGAAATAGGGGTCCTGTTTTTGATGTAAGTGTACAATTCATAGACCACTGAATGAACTGAATATACTTGCATGTGTGAGTTACAAATTTCTTGTGCATGAAATCTAATGACTTTTTTCACTGTTTAGTGAACCTGTTCATGCCAGGAAACGTAAGAATGAGAGTGTAATTGAGAAATATGAGAAGATGCCACGGCGCATGCAGGCTGAGCCTGAGAAAGAACTGATTCATCTGCTTCCCATCAAAGACAGGCACGGAATCATTCCGCAGACCATGGAAAAGCCAGGTAAGGCACCATCAGGATTGCCAAGCAAACTGTCAGTATACGATCTCAGAGATATCCACATTGAAATTTTTAAAGCATGTGCTTTTCCTTCCAGTTGTTAGAACAGAAGAGGAGGAGGAGGAGGATACAGCAGAAGAAGTGGAAGCAGAAGAAGGTAATAAATATTTTTAAAGTAATAATTTGGAAGCTTGAAATGCTAATTGAATTTTCATTCAGATGTTATCCCTTTTGGGACATTTGCTTTATTGGTCCAGAGAACATTATGTGGCTTCTATTCTTTTTTGAATTACTTGGATAGAGGAAATAAGATCAGATTGCTTCTGCCAAGGAAACAAATTGCTTTTAAACTGCTTCCAGATGTTACATTTAGAAAGTCAAGGAAAGTCTGAAAAGGAAACTGGAAGCAATCTAGGTCTTTGAAATTTTATATTATTCAGTTGGTTCAACAGCCATTAGCAGAGACTTTCAAATAGAATTTCCTTTGCTATTTGTTTACTATTTTATAATAAGGGTTTGGCAAAGGACTGATCAGAGTAGATTGTTGAGTCTTTCAGATGCCCACCCTTGTAGGCTTTAATCTAAAAACCTTCTCTGTATAAATTGCATATGCAATGTGCATGCTCATTATGTAGGACATTAACTGTTTTCCTTCATCACTAGCCCTCGAAGAACCTTTGCCTGTTCTCACTGCTGAAGAACTGTTAGTTCACAGAAGAAAGAAGCTGCAAGAGAAGAAAATACACATTGCTTCCTTAGCATCTGCTATCGTTTCTGACCCAGATAACAATGTAAGTAATGTTCAGGCTTCTTTCAAACCAGCCCATTGAAAAGGTAAAATAATGTCAGAAAAGCAGCAGATGATCATGTAAGCGCATTGGAAATTCTGCATTGCCTAGCTTGGCATGGTCAAGTCCCCACAGTGGTTCATATGCTGCTGTCCATGTTTTTAGCCTACTGACTTTGGCTAGTTCCTGTGGCTTTTGTTACACATGTGGGGGACAAACAGCATAACATTCAGTTGTTTCCAGCTGGCAGTTCATGAGTCCTTGCTGGAATTCTTGTCTTTGCTCTAAACCAGTAGGTGTGTATACCCTGAGAACTGCAGCAGAGACTCTTACCGTTTTGCCAGCTAGAAGCACCTTAATGTTAAGCCATTTGTCTTCGGCATGTATGACAAATGATTTACAGTTTTGTATTTTATTGACTGGAAGTAACCAGTCCTTTTCTCTCAAGGAAACATCTAAAAGGATGGCTTTACTTTTCCTATCACTGTGATTTTTTTCAAAGTGAAAGCAATCACATCATGCATTATTCCAAAAAGAAGGGATCCTTGTTTTAAGGACCACTGTAATTTAGAAAGATCCAAAATGCATTTGAGTAAAAGTGTTTGTTTTTTTTTTTGTTTTTTGTTTTTTTTGTAGTTGGGGTTTTTGAAGCTCTTTGTGCATATGTAAACTATGGTAGGTTTACTTGTATTGATCAGTGTGTATTTCATTCCTTGAGCAGATAAAGAAACTGAAAGAATTGCGTGCAATGTTAATGGAACAGGATCCCAATGTAGCTGTGATTGTGCGGAAACTGGTGATGATTTCTCTGATGGAGCTATTTAAAGATATTACTCCATCTTACAAGATCAGGCCTTTGACTGAGCACGAGAAAAACACAAAGGTGAGGTTACAGGATTTTTGACAGTGGTTTTTTTTATAAAGTTGGCTGGGGTGGTGATGGTTTCAGACTAGTTATGCTTTGCACAAAACAGAAACAACCACCTTGCATTTCTGAAATTTAAGCTTCCTCTCAGAATTGCTGGGTAATCTCTTTTCCTAAATCCTACTTGCAGGACCTTGAAAATAGTGTACCACTCATGGTAATTTGTTGTCATTTGGAAAGCCAGTGTGATGAAGTAGTGAGATGGCTGGCTAGAACTCAGGGGATTCAGGTTCCACTTGGTGCTCAACCATGAAACTCATACTCTGTCTGTCTAACCTTCCTCTCAGGATAAAGGTGGTGAGTAAAGGAAGAGCATCATAGAAGAATCTGAGCTCCTTGGGAAGAAGTCCTCATAAAATTATAATAACATTGTGTTGGGTGTGCTATTACTGAAGTACATTGGAATTTTTAGTACAGTTATGTAATAGTGTAAAAAGGTGGAAATTAAAATAAACCTGAAACTGAAAATACCTTTAAAATACCATTTTCTTCTTGTTTTAGCCACTTAACTTGGAACAAGTAGGGGAGATAAGTGTAAGCATGGTGGGGTAATTATAGTTCTGTGCCTCATAGGTGCTTTACAAAACTTCACAAACTATAAGGTAATGAAAGATGGCTGTCTACTGTCCACTTACTTATTTATATTTGATTTATATAACATCCCATTAGTTCAAGAACTTCAGAATACTTGTACTGCCGATAAATTCAGCATATGGCCATCTTAAAGTAAACATTGTATACTTTAGACATTTGCAGATGAATGGCAATACCATGGCAATCTCCTACCTTCCAGACGTTGAACAAATTTGCGCAGCTATGTTTTGTTGTACCAGTATGAAGTGAAGTCTTCCAAAACTTAAAATGCTTTGCAATTCTTGTGCAGTGGTTTTGTGACAAGACACTTCTCCAATGTCTCTGATTATCCATAGGTTAGAAAAGAAACTCAGAAGTTAAGAGAATTTGAAGAAGGCCTTGTGAGCCAATACAAGTTTTTTTTAGAAAATCTGGAGCAAACTGTGAAAGGTAAAGTGGCTGCGTATGTAGCATTCAAACAGGGTGAACCATTGTATTTTGTACTTTCACAAAGCAAACAACAAAGTGCGTGTGAGAAATATACTGTGCTTACAGATTGGGAGGCTCCTTATTACTAATGAACAATTCAGCAAGAGTTAAATGCTAATGCTTATTTTCCCAACTGAATGTTGGTTTTTTGTTTTTTGTTCCCTGAAAATAAGACATAACCTGAAAATAAGCCCTAGTATGAGTTTTCAGGATGCTCATAATATAAGCCCTACCCCCCAAAATAAGCCCCAGTTAAGTGAAACCCCACCCTTTACCATTGTGCAGCACTGTACAGCAACCAGAAGAAGCTAACATGACCATATATGAATAAATGTAGATTGTTGTACATGAAAAAAATAAAACTTCCCCTGAAAATAAGCCCTAATGCGTTTTTTTGGAGCAAAAATTAATATAAGACCCTGTCTTATTTTCGGAGAAACATGGTATCATTTCAGCCTCTGTGTGTTTGCAGTCCTTAAGAGCATTTCAACCTTACTTTCTCTGTAATTGTCACAAGAATGATAACTCATTTCTTCAGAGGCGATAATTGTCAATGGAGTTTTATAACTTACCATAGTGTTATTGAATTAGAAGTGGCTCCAAAGGTCCTACATTTTAACCACTTACATTGCCCTTCTAAAAACATTTTGCATACCTGTATTTAATAATCCATGGGAGAGACTGGGAGCTGGTGGTTCCTAGTTGTTTTACTATCCCATGGAGGTGGTAGGTATGGCAGGAAATTGGTTGCCTGTAACCTGAATGATCCGACAGGGGAGAGAGCAGATCTTTTTTCTTAAACTCACTGTGCTTTGTGCAGCATCTTCTGCAGTGTCACCCTAAAAGTGCATGTGAATGTTGTTAAAAAGATTTTAGAGCAGTGGTTTTTAAGCTAACGGTCCCAGTTTCTCTTGGGCTGCAGCTCCCAGCAGGCCTATGATTTCTGAGAGTCATAGTCCAAAAACAGGAGAGTGGACATATTGTTTGAGGCTATCCTTTTACTGGGAGGTGTGTATGTGCTTCCCACTTTGGGGGGCAGGGAATGTGCGCAAGCGTATGCTCCTGCAGAGAGCATAGCCCTATAGAATGTCCTAAGTACACTTTGGGGGGCAGGGAATGTGCGCAAGTGTATGCTCCTGCAGAGAGCATAGCCATATAGAATGTCCTAAGTATACCATTTACTGTATTTTACTTTTGACATATTTGTTGTTGGCATTTTGAGCCACTTCACTAAAGAATTATTAAATCTAACACTTGCATGCTTTTTCCAAGCTCTGTTTGAAACGTTTGCCTCTTTCTCATCTACAGTTGTAAGTTGTGGTGTCCACTTACAGTAGATTTAGTTTTCTGTATTTTCTTACCCTGTTATGATGATTTACATAAGATTCTCCCAAGCCTAGATGTAACTGTACCCACCTTAAGTGTCCTGGGAAATGGTTCAGGGTTAAAACCTGCTAATCTGTGAAGGCAGATGTAGCTTAATAAAAGTAATGCTAATTCTTCATTCAAATAACAGATCAAAACATTGGCCCGGGTCCAACAGGGTATTTATGACCTGCCCGCTGCTGCTTTCTTTAGTGAATTTGGGAGGGGAAAGACTCTGGAGCGTGTTTCAGAATGGCACTGAGGGCTGTTGGAGGGAAAGGAGGGTGAGGAAATTCTGTCCCATTGGCACTGCAGTGCCATTGTGATACGGGATGTTGGATTTAGGCCATTATTAGCAGAAGCAAAGCAATTAGAAAGCTGGTATGGGTTGTGTCCAGCAAAGCTCCCTCTGACAAAAGGTGGCTTTGATCAGTTTTCAGGGATTTTCCCTTCCCCGTGTTGTAGCCTATCTCATTTTGGTAGATCCTCTGACCCTCTGGAGGGGCTCTTCATGGACTCTGGAGGTTGCTGTGGGAAGGAGGCAAGAATTACTCAACTTTAGTAACCTTCCTTCCGTGAGGGCTACCTTGGATATGTAGCACAGTGAGAATTAAAAGGATATGACAATGTGTAGGTCCTTCCCTGCTT